CACCGCAAGTCCCTGCACAATGAATTCTAGTGAAATGGTTACGAACTAGAGTAAAGAAGACTTACCGAGCGAATGCCAGGTAGTTTCGACATGATCTGTTTGTCATACTAAGGTCTCCATAATCAAAAATTGCAGCCAGGATCTCGACTTACCGGCGATCCAGTCATCAATAGCCTTATCATCGTCAGCAGAGTACTTAATGTCCTCGTGCACTTTGGCTGCGTTGTATGGCTCCCCTGGCCTGTAATTGATCTTTAGTCGACAATCAGGCTAAAAATACCAAAGCGTACTGACTTGTGCCAAGTGCCTGACAAGACCAGGTCAAAACGTTATGACGAGCCTCGCGTGTCTACAAAATGGCTTACCCATATGAATACCAACTGTGAATCCATCGGGCATGAGTTGCTTGGCTGTCTGGATATCGATATCACGCGCAGCTGCTGGGGAAGCGGGATGGAAGCGTGGATGGTGTGACGTCAGTTCGCCACGGAAGGCTAGAGATGATTGCTTGATGCTCGCACTTGGAGGACAGGGAATTTGTTGACATACCATCCATCCTGCGGGCGACCTCACGTGTCTTCTTGTAACTCCACCGGATGGGCGCAAAGTCTGCCTTGTTGTTCATAAATCCGCTGTCAAAGAATGGTTCCATGTACGGATTAGCAGAGGAGATGTGTATCTATAACGCGTTCAGGAAAGGATCAACTTGGAAAAGTGGGGCAAGACAAACCTTTCCACGACTTGCGGGATATTCCTGGAGGAATCAAATATAGCGAAGCCACCTACGTCTTGAATCAAACACATACCAGATATTGGAACCTGCATACACCAATCAGTCTTGCATTTAACTTCAACGAGGATTAGGGACCTACATGGTCATGTATTTGCCAGGGGGCAGCAAGGAATGATCGGCGTAAGCTATTGAACGTGTTCTCACATGATCTAGAGTAATCCCTGCCAAAAACCATCTTACCTCCAGAGACAATCGAGCCGAACCTGGATTTATTTGAATCGTTAACATTCGGCCAGACAAAGTGCAACATAAAGGGTAAAACATACATAACAGGTTTATCTGGCTTGTCTTTGAAGTACTCGTTCCAGAGCTTGTTGAACTCGGGCCCCATTTCCTTGAGTTCTTCCTCTGTCGGGCGTATCTAGACAACGTTTTGACAGGACTCAATTTGGTAAGAATTCATACTCACTTTGAACCCTGCATCAATGGCGTTGGACGAAAGTCTAGCTTTCTCTGGGCTAGTCTCCCACTCTGCAAATAGCTGATATTTTTATTTGGGCAAGGTCATTAATGAAGATGTGTTGCAGGAAAGTATGACTAACCTCCTTCTGGACTTCTTTATCACCCCGAAGGAAGTCATCAAGAGTGAAAGTCTCGTTGGACACTCGGTAAACTATAGAATTGTTAGCCAAAGTTTAAACCAATCATTGCGGGTGCTTACCAGTGAGCGTAGTATAATGATCCTGGTATTGCTCCCTGTTCACGCCACTGAGATAACACCTCGGAGGGAAGTGTACATTACTTACCCTACGCCAGGGAGGTTACTAACAACTTTGATATCCAGATTCTGTAGAAGCCCTTGAGAACCAACGCCGGATCTTTCCAAGATCTGTGGGGTTCCAAGAGTCCCGCTGCTCAGGACGACCATCTTTCGTGCGCGCACAACGGTCTCTTTAACCTGAGCCCCATGTGTACGATTACGAGCTGGAACATAAGCCACGCCCACAGCCTTTTTACCCTCAAAGATGACGCGGGAGACTCGGGCGTTGGTGCGCAAATGTAAGTTAGTCTGAGTGTCCATCACGCTGTGGACGTAGGCTATTTGAAATAGTCAGCACATGACCTTATGCCATGAGAATGGAAGGATTCACCTGTCGCAGCATCGCTGCGCCTTCCTGTGTGTCTGTTGATATACTTAGCCCATATTTCAGAAGCGTGCGCAGTGTCCAAATCTAAGTTGTAACGATCTAGCTTCTATCAATTAATCTAGGATTCAAGGGCTCACCTTGGATATCATCTATGAATGCAAGAACACGTCGAATGATCAGATATTTAAGGCAAATTTCAGGACGAACCGCTGAACGGGACCCCAACTGCATCTGATGCCCTCAAGAAATCCTGAGCGAGAGCGCTGACCGATCCACCATTGCTAATGGCGATAGGACCCTCATAGCCATGAGTTTCATTGTTGACTGGTTTCTGATAGTTCTCAAGCTGTAGTCGGACACATGAACGGGACGATATCCACGGAATAGTCACAGTTACTGACACGTTTCATGAGCGGAAGCAAGTCCTTTGCTGTCCAACCAGGGGTCTTGAAGTCGTCTAATTGCGCGGGGTGACTTCAGAACGGGCTAAACTTGCTGAACATGGAAACATACCCCAATCAGACGCAGAGGCCTGAAAAGTCTACATCAGATGGAAAGAAGAGTCGAGTAGAAGATAGCGTACACGAGTATACATCTGAAGCATGATGAGTTAGTAGTGTACACCTCACAACATACGGAGAAAACAGACTTGAAAATTGATACTATATCGGCATATCAGCCCTCAAATCCAGGAAATATTATGGTTTTACGTACCTGCTTCCACCACCTTTGGTAAAATCCACATGTAAGCAAGTTACGCGCATTTATTTCTCTAGCACACACCCAAGATATTAGCACAGCTGTTTCAATCACCTGTCAGCTGGTCGCGTCTTTTTCGATTACGAGAACTTACGGAACAATGCTCCTTCGGCCACGGAGATGAGGCGAGCTTTGAGTATCAACGTAAAACTTTGCCTTGTCATTTCTATACAACAACAGTAGTGAGACGATAAGAAGGTAGTGAGTTAAGGCGGAACTGCATTACATTCCATCCTGCTGCATGTTCCTCACATAGATACCAGGCCTAAGCAAGCATTGGATATCAACAAAAGATTGCGTGGTGCATGATAATACGCGCCTATAGACCCATGGATCGTCGCGGTTGTTAGCCCCACCCTCAATGAGCATGACTTTTAGGTTTGGGTCTGCGTAGGCAAGCCTTCCAGCAACGACGCAACCTGTAAGATAAACGAGATGAGATAGCGCCTATTTGTGTCCTCGCAATGCTTACCTGCGGGTCCTCCTCCTGCGACGATGACATCAACTTCTTCCGGATGCATTGTGACGAGATTATTCTGACGACAAGTTCGCGAGGGTTAGAGAGTACCCTGTGAGGGATGGAGCGTGACGTTGTATGAGTGCCTTTTTATATAGATATCCAGGGAAATCCTTGAGCAAATGGACAAATAAGAACGTCAGATGTCCTTCATGTATTACGTTAAGAATGCCATTTAATTGACTCTATCAAGCCAGAGAGGAGCTTCACACGTCCAGGACCTTCGTGTCATTGCCCTGGGCGGGAAGAAGCGTCCTCGAAAGACGATATAAGGTCAACTGATACAAGAAGAAGTCGCTTGCACGTGGTGGAAACTCCGGGTGAATGGGTCAAGCCGATGTAGAACAGCGCAGCGTGAGATCGAACATTCTGAGGCGATTTGTACGGTAGTTGTGGCGGCAGATGGATGGCGCGCCCACGATGCCACCTCCTTTAACACAATAGTGTTCCATTCGTGGCAGCCGAGGAAGTATTTGCATTTCTAGGCCTATAGAGAAAATGCATGGGACTGAGTTCTTGACTTTGAAAGCAGTTGGAGCCTCCGTCTTGTGACCATTGCGGGGGATTATTCATCATTTAGCCAATGTCAGATGTCTCCGGGTCGGGCTTCTCACCAAATGTATGTGAGAATTGACTGATGAAAGACGTTCCACAGTGGTATTATGTTCCGATGAAGGACAGGATATGTCGAGTAGCTACAGGACTTGTTTCTCCTGGGATAAGCCTGAAGGTGTCTTGCTGAAATAGCGACCGTACGTAGAAACCTCGATAGATTAGATTGTAATTGAAATGTCGTGAGACCAAGAAGATACGAGGGGAAATGTAATGCATTTCAATTTGTCGTGTATTGATCAGTAATCATAGAGACAACAATCTGTGGGACATAAGTTTGACGGTGGGCACACATGTTCCGGAGACCCGTGGGACATGCATGTCTTCTCTCGCGTGGAAGTGTAGAACCTGCCGCGTCGATGGGAGGGACTAAACAAGTCTTCGCTAGTATATCGGTTAGTACACGCGCCTGTCACCATATGTTGATGGCCGCGCGAAAGCTGGGTTCGACTCCCAGGCGAAGAGATGTATTGTGTTTTTCTTCAGCGATGATATACTTGTTTTACGAATTGCTGAGGATAAAGAATTATATGGATAGCTGCTTGTGGCTCCGGTTCTGTATACTCCATATGATAGGCAATTAAGACTAGGTTACGGACGGACAGTCGAAAGTAATAAGCGAATTCACGACACTTCAACTTTTTTGTTTCTCGTCTTTCTATTACATTTCGCCACATTCTGTTTGAGAGTTGTGAGCTGCGTCGTGGCTTGAGACTTGATGGAACTAACCAGTAATCTTAACGACAAGCTTGGGTCGATTATTAGGGCCAGTAGCTACATTCTCGATCTTGCGGAGAGTGAGCATACCATCGATTACGTGGCCGAAAACAACATGTTTGCCATCGAGGAAGTCACATTTTGCTGTTGTAATGAAGAACTGACACCCATTCGTGTTTGGGCCAGAGTTAGCCTACTGGATTCTAAGCTTGGTAGAAACGATCAAAGCAAGAGGCATACCATGGACAGTAGCCCAGGTCCTGTGTGCTTCTCCTTGAAATTCTCATCCTGTGCACCTATTATGCCCCAATTTTGCTTTTGCAGTTGAAAGCGTACACACTGGAAATTTGTCTCCATATATGGAGAAAGACCCGGTACCATCTCCCTTCACAAAATCGCCGCCCTGACACATGAAGTTAGGCACCCTGTCAGATGTTCTAGTTGTTAAGCGGGGATGATTCCTTGCATGATAATCTTACACTCTGCTCGGATAGTTCACGACAATGAATTGATTAAATGAGACGCGACGGACCGATGGAAGGTTGCACCCTTAAAGCCCTGGGGCCGTGAATTAACCCTGTAGTACACTGCATATGGGTTTGATACTTTGAAAGACCCAATACACAGTGTCCTACCTGTATTCACCCGTACATAATTGTCTAAAGTTCTCTGCGGTCCTGAATGGGTTGTGAACAAAACAAGGGTAATCAGCTAAGAGCTTGAATGGATTGAGCAACGTACTTTGGAACGATATCACTATGAAGCTCCATCTTCAGCCGTCCCGCAGGCGTTTCTCCGATGTTGATATCCATGAAAACGACCGGGCGGGTAGTTCCAGACATAGTGGCTAGAAAAAGATTCGCAGGGTTGGTGACAGAGTGGAGAACCTGTTTGGGTGATTATGTCAGACTCGTGTTTGAAAAACTCCCTCAAACTCTCTCAAACTTGTTCGTGGGAGACAACAGCTAAAATAATTCCATTCTATCAGTGCGTCTTGAGTCTTTACAAGTGTTGTGGACTAACTACTTCAGCGGGTTCGTTTCTTGCGCAGAGGCTGCTTACAAGTGTTGTGGACTAACTACTTCAGCGGGTTCGTTTCTTGCGCAGAGGCTGCGTGTCATCCGACTCTTTTAGCCCTCTTTTAGCATTGTGGTCGGATCAGTCACAGATGCTGAATCCAACGGGGTCTCATCGACATCGGCTACGATTCGTAATTTCGTGTTATTCCATGCGTGACTTAAAAGAAGAACGAAAGGTACAATCATGCTAATTCGTCACGGCTGTCTATGTACACACGGTGCCTTTTGGTGGGAGTAGAGAGAACGAAGTGCTTGTCTAATATCTGGGGTCGTTTAGGAGAGAGGAACCCAAAATTCAGCCCTAGTCCTCGAGTTATTCGTAGGGGCTCCGAGGACGCCCCAGATCCTGTACTTGTGACAATGTTTCTATGTATGCGACAGTCTGAGGCGGCGGTCTATGAATAATGATTTTCAGTCAATCGCACGCGGTTCGGTAGATGTTGGACGTTGAGCGTCAAACCTCGTGACCTCCCACAAAATGATCTGCTTTGACTCCAAGGATTGTACTCGCAATTGTCCCATGACCACCTATTCTGATGGGCAACGCCGCATAAACCAAGCCTGTCAAGATTCGAGATTCTGTCCAAATACAGCGCTTGTTAAATCCGCTCAACAATTAGGGTCGGTGTGCGAAAAGAACCTCAAAAATGATGTTCCACCTCGCGTCAATGATTGTATGTAGATCTTGTTTTTCTCTTGCAGAGGCTGGCAATCTCCTTCATCTTTAATCTTCGATCAAAACACAACAAACCTATACTACAGTCAACAGTTTCCTGTATTTCCTGCATCATACACACAGGCGACATTTGGTGAGAGAAAACAAGTTCAGAAATAGATGGCGACATCATCTTCAATGTCAGTAATTTATCTTTTCTCCGTTTCGCAGGTCTGTACCTCCTTTTCCGATTGGAGATCATGCAGCCGACTACTAAAATGCCTGTGTGTGTATGGCGCACAGCCTTATGTGAAAGCAACCGTTTAGACCTATGAGATCGACCGGCACAGGGAGTCGCATATACCCTAAGCCCTTTTCTTATCAACCAATTCCCACAAGCAAACATGGTCCCATGATTGCATCGATAAGCGCAGGGGACGGGGACGAGCTGTTGGAAGATTAATCCTTTGATTGGAGGAACTATTGAAAGTCTAACTTTCGGTCTATATATATGTGCAATCCACATGTGCGTAAGTTATGCTGATCCATCGAATTTCCTGGGGCCTGAAAGGTGTATAATCTACTCTGGGCATCTCGCCTCATCCAGCTCATTCACATGATGTATATTATTCTACCTCTGGCATCGAGGCATGTATACTCCTAACTTCTTCATCCTTTGTGCCACTGGCTATATCGGAGGCGCCGTGTTAGCGCGCTTCCTCAAGCGCCCCGACATCGTCAGCTCCAAGATCACAACTCTCGTCCGCTCATCCGAACAGGCTGCTATCTTTGCCACATTCAGTTTCAACGCTATAATACAGATGGTGCATTCAAAGTCGGGTCTGAGGCTGATCCAAGCAGTACTCCTTGAAATGCGCCACAAGCCTTCCGGAACTGTTCCGAACCCCGGAACAGGTGTCCCTGGCGACAACGCCATTGGCGGGTACTCAT